GACATGTCCAGAGGAGGGACAGTGGTTTGGACATGTCCAGAGGGGGGTCAGTGGTTTGGACATGTCCAGAGGAGGGACAGTGGTTTGGACATGTCCAGAGGAGGGTCAGTGGTTTGGACATGTCCAGAGGAGGGACAGTGGTTTGGACATGTCCAGAGGAGGGTCAGTGGTTTGGACATGTCCAGAGAGGGGTCAGTGATTTGGACATGTCCAGAGGGGAGACAGTGGTTTGGACATGTCCAGAGGAGGGTCAGTGGTTTGGACATGTCCAGAGGAGGGACAGTGGGTATATTGGTAGAAGGATGTTAGAAATGCAGCTGCAGGAAAAAGACAAAGAGGAGACACATGGAGGTAGTTGGAGTGAGGACAGAGAGGACAGAGTGAGATGCAGGAGGACTCGCTGTGGAGACACCTGAAGAGGGAAAAGCTGAAGAACATAATTTCCATTAATTTATTTTAAAAAGATTATGAATAACTGGTGCCACAGATCCAGTCGGGCTGCTCGTGAATCAAATCGTTGCTGTGAGCTGTTGACCTCTGGATCCGCTACTTCACGGTTCGTTGAAGACTCACACTATCGCGGTTTTTCAAAACAAGATTGGACAGAACACACAATTGGCAGATTGATGGATGAACCGCATGGAATTTTTATTTAAACTTGTTTAGCAACTGCTGCACCTTTGTGCAGCCTAGAGCTGCAGGAAAAGCTTCCTCGTGCAGCTGATCAGTGAAGAGCAGAGAAGTGGGCGTGGCCGAGAGTGCAGCCAGAGGCAAATCATGACATTCTGTGATGTTCAAGAGCGTTTAGTTTAGAAACATTATTTAGAATATTGCAAGTGTGGGAAGGGTTTAAAACACCTTTATGTATACATTTTTTTCTTTATAAATATACGCTGATCTGTTTCATGTTGCCGTGTTCATTCGTGCTCATCTGCTCACACTCATGTTCGTGCTGCTGTGGTTTTTCACCTATTAGGTTTCAGGGTATGGATCCCCTGCGATAAATGAGGGACTACTGTACTGTGGACTCTGTACCGGTCCGTTGTGGTGAAGACGGAGCTGAGCTGTAAGACAAAGCTCTCCGTTTACTGGTCGGTCTACGTTCCTCCCCTCTGGTCCTGAACTCTGGTAGAGACTGAAAGAATGAGATCGTGGATCCAGGAGGTTGAAATGAGTTTCCTCTGCAGAGCTGGACTCTCCCTCAGAGACAGGGTGAGAAGTTCAGTTATCAGGAGAGACTCAGAGTAGAACCACTGCTCCTCCACATCCAGAGGAGCCAGTTGAGGAGGTTCAAACATCTGGTGAGGATGCTCCCTGGGTACCTCCCTAGGGAGGTGCTTCAAGCATGTCTGACTGGGAGGAGACCCAGGACACGCTGGAGAGACTATGTCTCTTGGTTGGCCTGGGAACACCTTGGAGTCCTCCCAGAAGAACTGGAAGAGGCTGTGGAGAGAGAGGTCTGGACCTCCCTGATCAAGATGCTGCCCCCAGACCTGAGTCCAGAACAAGAGGAAGATGATGGATGGATGGATGGATGATGGATGTTGGGGCAGATAAATAGAATTTAGTGTATTTGCTAGAAACTGAAAATTACAGAAACAAAAACTGTTCAGAGTTGAGGGAATTTATTAGGAATGTTTACATAACTGACACAATCAATAAAAACAAAAACATCAGCTGTGGTTGGGCAGCAAACTGCTCTCTCATCACTTCCTGTTTACAGTCTACCATTCTGTCATCACTTCCTGTTTACAGTCTACCATTCTGTCATCACTTCCTGTTTACAGTCTACCATTCTGACATCACTTCCTGTGATAACATCAAGTTTAATATCTTCCTCTGAACCCTCCACCTCCTCCATAAGCTCCTCCCCCTCCCCTGTATCCTCCTCCCCCTCCATAACCCCCACCTCCCCTGTATCCTCCTCCCCCTCTATATCCTCCTCCTCCTCCCCCGTATCCACCACCTCCTCTGTACCCTCCTCCACCTCCTCTGTACCCTCCTCCACCTCCTCGATAACCTCCCCCTCCCCTGTAGCCCCCTCCCCCACCTTGATACCCTCCTCCTCTTCCTCCCCCATCAAAGCGGGCCATTTTCGGGGGTCGTGGTCCGTCTCCCATCCTGCAGAGAAACAACCAGCAGAAGAACTTCAGCTGCAGATTGGGCTTTTTAGACTGAATTAAAAGATCTGACTTGTTCCTGGGACTCAAACCGCCGGAGTCTACAGTACCTCTGGTTGCTGGCCATCATGTTGATCCCGGCTGCGGACGGTTTGGACACCTGTCGGATCACGTTCAGCAGGTGCTGGTTGGTTTGATCCATCTGGTTGATGTATTCAGGGTCTTTGGTCACTTCCACCACCAGAGCCTCGAGTCCGGCCCGCAGCACCGCGATGCCGCCGGCCACCTCATGAGGAATCCTCAGTTTGATCCTGCAGAACAAAGAATGCTTTGAAGTTTCAAAAGGCTTCGGTCATGAGGCGTTCAGATTCTTCTCCAGCTCAGAGCAGTGACGTCATGGCAAAAAGAAGCTCCTGTTCTCCAGCTGTCGGTAACAGGACCGAGAAGGTCCGGCCTTCATCAGATTCTGAAGTCCAGAGTCAGAGTCTCTTTATTGTCGTTCCACCTCATGTGGTACATGTGGTGGAACAAGATTATGTTCACAGGGTCCCAGTTGCATCCAACAATAAAATGTAAAAGAAAAACAGCAACAAGATCTAAAATATGAACAAACTAAAATACACTAAGCACTGATAGTATATAAACAATACGTCGAACAGCAGCACGAACATGTCACATGTTCATGTGCTGGGTGAGTGTGGTCCTTCATGATGCAGGTGGCCCTCTTCCTGCATCTGGAGGTGTAGATGTCTGTGATGGTGGGGAGACTGACTCCAGTAACTCTAACCAGGAGAATCAGTGTGAACACCGTATTATTTTACATTGTTAGTGTTTGGTTTATATCTTAGATCCTTATTTACCGTTTCTTTTTATACTTTATATTTTGATATTGTTGGGTGTAACTGGGACCTTGAGTCCACAGTTTCGTTCCACCTCATGTACCACATGTGATGAGAATGACAATAAAGAAACTTAAACCTTGATAAATTTTAGCTCCAGATCTAAAATACATGACGTTATAATATAGAGCTAATAAATCAAACATCACAAGGTGATCATGTTTGATCCTTTTCCATCCAAGTATTGTCCTTAAGATCTAATAATTAACTTATTATTAATCGTCATGTTATAACTTTTTAGCCGTGACTTCTTGTGCTTTAGTCCACTACAACCGATATGGTCCCAGAATGCATTGCACCGGTGAAATACTGGTGAAGTTCTTACATGAAAAGTGCAATAAGCATGTATAATTTTAAGCACTTTGGAGTTTCCACGCACCACCACCAACAACTTTTAGCAGAGCAGAGCAGTAACAACATATTAAGGCCAATGTGTGCAGCTAGTCCGAGAACTTTGTTCATCACAGGACGTCTCACCAGTCGTCCAGCTCCACGATGTCTCCGTTGGAGTTGATCTTCTTGGAGGCGAAGAGCAGCAGCTGCAGCGGACTCACCAGAGTCATCCCTTTAGCCGAGATCGCTCTGGTTCTGATCTGGAACAACAAAAATCACAAACTAACCAACTCCACCCAGAACCACGTCGTTTCCAAACGCTCAGTTGTGTCGGGTCAAAAGTCCCGGTTCTATAAAACCCGTTCCACCTTCTCGCCGAAGACGAAGAACGGGGACGGGTACTTGATGTCCTGGCTGCTGAAGGGACAGTTGACGGAGGACTTGTGGATGAGGGCGTTGCGGCCCTCGGTGGTCAGGATCTTCCTCTTCTCCTTGTGGTAGCAGACATTGGGGTACGAGCCGAAGGTGAGCAGAGACACCACCACGTCCAGGTTGTTGTCGGGTCCCACGGTGTTGAACATCTGCGTCATCAGGCACTCTGACAGGAAGCAAACACACAGGAAGTCACTACAGCCACTTCCTGTATTACACACAGAGCCGGCGGTGCCTTCAGGTACCTTCAGGAAATCCAGAGTTCACCAGGATCTCCTTCAGCTGGACTTTGGCCTCCCACGTCATCCTCAGGGTGGCCATGTTGAGACGTTTGTGTTCACAGAAACTGGTTTCGGCGTCCTCGCCGTTAATTCTGAACAGAGGGAGAGAAGTGATGAGCACCAGGGTTCTGTGGCGCCGTGCGTCAACAGAAAACATCAAACGGTTGGTTCTGTTGGCGTTCAGAGGATGACGGGAGAGTTTTGTACAACTCAGAGGAGGGAGGTCAGAACTTTGGTCCGTTTCATCACATTAACAAAAACTATGCTAAACTCCTCGCTGTCCGGTCGTTCCATTAAAGCAAGAACTGGATCAGAACCTGACGTCGTCCCAGGCCTGGAACACGGATAGCAGCGCCACGTGGTCCGAGAAACGGTTCCCGGAGAAGTTCCTGTGGACGAAGCCGAGGCGTTTGCCGTCGTTGATGAAGGGTTCTGGGAAGCAGGAGGCGGAGGAGATGGTGCACATGGCATCGCCCACGCTGCGAGAACAGAAAGAACCGGGTCAGTCCGAGCCCTCTGAGAGACAACCGAGCCGTAATACGAGAAGAGACACCGACTGGAAGATGCAGCCCATGATCATCATCTTCCCCAGCCGGGGCTCGATGGGCAGCCGGGCCAGGATCCGGCCCAGAGGGGTCAGTTCATCGTTGGAGTCCAGAGCGTCCAGTTCTGCAACCACAGTTAGACGGGTCAAACTGAGACACGGGTCAGGAGAAGAACCAGAACATCTATATTTAGATCAGTTTCATTCTTTAGGATCTAAACGTTAAAACAGGAAGTGGAACAAACACACAACAGGAAGTCCTCTGGACAGATGTCAAGAGATAAAAGGGACTAAATAATTAATTGTCTAATTCTTTATGAGATATCTTAAAGCTAAAAGAAACATTTTGTTTCACATACTCATTTTGTTATTTAGACAAAACTAACATTTGATGTAAGTAAACAAATAAAAACTAATGTTAGAAAATAAAACATGTAAAATATAAATAAACACGTTCCTACAAACATGATTCTGTTGGGTTTGCACAACAATCTGTGTTTTTATGTGTTCTTGGTTTTATCTGGTTGTTGTTCAGAACTAAAGTGAACTCTGTTTCTCGTTAATAACTTGTTATAATCTTATTTCTCGTTAATAACTTGTTATAATCTTATTTCCTGTTAATAACTTGTTATAATCTTATTTCCCGTTAATAACTTGTTATA